TTTCATTTTCTTTTTTTCCTTTGGGATGTAAGGGCACTGTGCATGATGAGTACTTATGAATCTGTATCTTTTTAAAGTGAATACAGAAAAATAAAATTGCTGTTTTCTGGTTTCACAGAGATTCCCAGAACTCATATGGAGTATGAGAACAGGCTCACTATGAAAATGTTTTTGTTCCAGTTTGTCAACTACTATTCATCCTGCTTCTACGTGGCCTTCTTCAAAGGGAAGTTTGTTGGTTACCCAGGTGCCTACACCTACATGTTTAATCGCTGGCGAAATGAAGAGGTAGGACTTTCTTTATTAAGATGGACTGAATAGCAATAAACTAGTTAAACCTTTTATCGTCCCTACCCAGGGCTGTCATAAATTGCCAGCTGCAGGTTTGGTCTGGAATGAGCTGGACCTCAGGTGGCCATCCTGAGGCTGACACAGGGGCTTCCAAGGACTCTTCCTGCTGTTGCCAGTCAGGGAAGCACCAGCACTGAAAATCTGAGGCTCTGTCACAAGGGTGAAAAAATCAAAAATCTTTTATTGGCCCCAGTTCTCCTGAAATACCAATGGATCTTGCCATAGGTCTTAAAAGTGATCCTCTAGGTTGGAGAAAGCTAGTATAAGTGGAAATGGTCCCTGGCTTTTGGATATCTTCATTAGCTTTTTGAGGCATTATGTTTTCAGTGAAATTGTTTGGTAAAAGGCACCTCTGTAAGCTTTTGCTTTTTTCCTCATATCATTGCTGCTTATGCTGTCTCTACGGAGGTGAAATGTGATATTTCATGTGAAGCATTGCCCGGGAGTCAATAGTGGAGGAAAAACTTCATGCAAAACACGATGCAGTAATGCAGTGCACTTACTGATGGAGTATCTCCTAAGGCTGGTCTGGCTGCTAAATTCTTAAGAAGGCCTCAAGAAAGAGTTGAGGCTAAAAACTGGTGTTCTTGGCAAACAGCAGAGACCAGATACTGGCAGGTATTTAAATGCCTCTGGTGTAGGGATATGAGTAGAAAATATGGGTGCTTGGTAGATCGGGGTTGGTCTGGTGCTGAGAGCTAACCAAGCTCCATACGTTCACCTCGCCGGGGCTGTGGAGTGGCTGCTGCATGCGGATCCTGCTCCCCCTCTTTGGGTGTCTGCACAGTGGTCAGCCTGAAGCATCTCTGAATTGCTCTGTCTTTAAATGGTCGTTACGTTTTGATGTGTGTTCCATCGAGCACATGGAGCATTGACAGCCCTTCTATAACTGCCTTCCTGAGAGGCTATCGTAGCTGGCAGTCCACATGAAAACTAAGTACGGTTCAAACAAGTTTTAAGAATTTTTCTTCTGTCTTTAATTTATACCATAGTAGAATATAGTTTGTCTGGGTAATGTCCATTGTTCGTGTCCGTTAACCCCTGGTTTGTCTCTGCCAGTGCGATCCTGCGGGCTGTTTGATAGAATTGACGACACAGCTCACCATAGTCATGGCTGGCAAACAGATCTGGGGAAATATCCAAGAGGCCATTGTACCGTAAGTCATATCTTACACCGAGCTGCCTATGTTATAGACAGAGGAAACTCTTGGAAGCAGTGATAACAAGTATTGCCATATGAAGGAGCTAAGAGGAATTCTGTAAATTAAGCACAAAATCTGACACTTCATTTATTTTATAGAGACTTTTGACCTCTTTTTGTGAAAGCCATGTTTGTAAAATTGTATTGCAACAAGGAGCTTGCTTAGAGAAAGGGGTGCTTGATCTGCTTCTCTCGTTGCTAACTTTCTTCTGCATATACAGCTGGATTTGTAACTGGTGGGGACGCCGTAAAGCCAAAAATAATCCAGAAAATTTATACAGTCGCTGGGAGCAAGACCATGATCTGCAGACGTTTGGAGCCTTAGGCCTGTTCTATGAATATCTAGAAATGGGTAAGTTTAAAAATACGCATTTGGAATTGAGGACAAGACACTTTGTACTGACACTTCCAAAAAAATAACTTCTCACTTAATTGTTATGGGTCGATGGCAACATTTTCATCTGGTAAACAGCAGATGATTAACTGCTGGAAATTAAATAGGTCAGGCCAATTAAAAAAAAAAAAAAGGTGCCTCTGCATCTTAGACTGCAGGGAATTTCACAGAAACACTGCAAAGACTGTTTGTTTCCCTCGTTTGAATGGGGAACATTATTCTTGGTGCAGCCAGCTGTCTCAGTGTCTGTTCTGAACTTGTGCCCAAGCATGTTCTCAGCTGATGTCAGTGGAAATGGTAGGCATGGGATGAGCGCCAAATACCCTGTAAGGAGGGAGGGGTACTGCAGATAGGGAATCTACCAACTGGATCAGAGAGTCGGTTTAGTTTGACGTTTGCACTGATTAGTGCTTTGATACAGTCCAGCAGAGGGAGCATGGATAACAGAATAGGAATTTTCAAAGGTAATGTGAGGAGGTCAGCATATGAAATTACTTTACAAAACCTGAGAAACTAACACTAGAAATTGAAGCCAAACTAAATCTAAAAGACACTTAAAATTAGTGTTTGTCTGTTAGAAGGACACAGTTTGTTGAGAAGTGGTCTCTTGTATTGTTTTATTGGTACAGAAATAATTACTGCCTAGAGCTTTGCAACTGTGGTGGTGTCATTTCATACACTTCATGATATTTCATGCAGGGCTGGGATCTTATGAAATTCATACGCTAAGAACCATCAGCGTTGTGAGCCATGCCTGTTAATAGATGTCCTTGCTCTTCCTGAATCAGAACTGAACCGGTGTGCTCCGGCATCGTCCTGGGGCTGCTAAGCTAGTAGAAATTCTTTTGCTTGTCTAAGATGAGGAACTGATCACTGAAATCATGGAAGAGCTGATGACTGGTGTATGGGAATTTATTTTTATCCACTGCCTAAACCAGACAAGATGTTCTGTTTCCTGTCTTGAAAATATAGTGGCAGTATTGGCTCTGCACTGAGGGCTGTCACATTCTGTACCGAGATGTTTCACGTTGGTAATAACTGAATGTATTTTATTTGCAATTCTGAAACTAATGTTAAGACTCCCCAGTGGAACTATTACGTACAGAATTGGTGTTAGTATTTTGACTAAACCCATAACAATAGGTGGAGGTAAGGCTGTGATAAAAGTAGAAGTAATTCCTCTTCTTTGTTTAGGAGCATAGCTGGTAAGTAAAAGCAGAACGAGCTTGCTCTGTACAGACTGCAGGAGAGGAAAACTAGCCTGTTTTTGTTCTTTCTTGTAATTGATGACTTTAATGTATGATTACCTTCCCGTTCCCCTACAGTTATGTTCCGTTCATGACAGAACTGCAGCACCATGAAAGAATTGGTATCCAGCACTGCTGCCAGCGTCATTTGACAGGACCCGAATGCCCGGTTCCCTTGGGTGCTGCTGAATGGCAGCCCTAAGAGACTAGAGAAGGCTTGGGGCTGGGGCAGTTGTCACTTAGCTCAGGCCAGGGCTGGAGATGTCGTCTTGTGCAGCCTGGCAGAAGTTTGCCATTTGTCTGCGAGCGGCAACTTGCGTGTTTCATTGTCACCCTGAGGGTTCTTTGGTAGAGGCACATTTTGGCACTTTTTTTTTCCTCCCTTGCAGTCATTCAGTTTGGATTCATTACTCTCTTCGTGGCGTCCTTTCCCCTGGCTCCCCTTCTTGCTCTGATGAATAATATCCTGGAGATTCGAGTAGACTCCTGGAAATTAACCACTCAGTACAGGAGACCTGTGGCTGCGAAAGCACATAGCATAGGAGTTTGGCAAGAAATCCTGAACGGAATGGCCATCTTGTCTGTTGTCACTAATGTAAGTATATTAACGGTGCTACATCAGTTTTGATTCTTCAATGTACTCGGGATTTGTAGATTTAAAAATCAGCTGATGCTTTTTCTCCCTCATCAACAGTATTCGCTTTATCACATGTTACCCTATGGAGATACGGTCGGACCCTTTGGGTGGTGCGGCTTGTCCATGTGGTGACAACATGGAGCTCCCAATCCACATTTCACTGGGCCATAATCTTTCATTCACTTGTCTGCGTTTTCCAGCGTTTTGGAATGGCATAAGCCAGTCTGAAGCTTAGTCTGATGAAGCGCACTGATTGCCCAGAGGTGACCGTAGGGAACAGGAGAGGTGGATTAATTCCATTGGCCAGACGACATTTCTGTCTTGTTTCTGAGGCCTATTCTGTGGGAATTCTGCTCATTCAGCTACTTCTGGATGCCCCTATGGGGGCAATGGCTTAGAGTACTTTTTATATACTGGAAACTAAATGCTGTGCTAGTATTGTGTGTTAAGTATAATGTAAAGCAGACTGCTGACCAAAAGACTTGCCTCTTCTTAATGTTGAATATTAAACAGTATCAGATCCCCAAGTGCTTTAGGCAATAAACCCACTTGCAGGTATTGCCTAATTAGCAAGGTACCTGAGCATCTTAAGTATTTTAAGTTTCCAGGCAAAATGTGCTGGTAGGCCTTGTTTGCTTTTTAAATATAGCTGGAGAAGATGGCTCCTCTTCTTTCATAAAGTGATCACACACTGGAATCAAGTTCGCCCTTTCTCACAAGAATTCAAAAGCACATCTCTTTCACTAAGGAGTGCTGTTATCACAGATAGTAGACAGCTTGGTGTGAGGGGATATTTGGGATTTAGTGCCTCTTGGAAGGACTGTTCACGTATTTTGTCCACTGCAGCAGAGGCTGCAGTCAGCATTTTACCAGGGTAGAGTGCCCTAGTCATGCTCACCCTTGCTTAGAAGGTCCTGGGTTATGCCACAGAGTCACAGTACCAAAACCCTGTTATGAAACTGCTCACAAGTTTTGTGTGCCACTTCATTTCTTTTTCCTATTTCTTTTTCAGGCTTTTATTGTTGCATTCACATCAGATATGATTCCTCGTTTAGTTTACTACTATGCGTATTCTGAAAATGAAGACTCACCAATGTCTGGATACATAAACAATAGTTTGTCAGTGTTTCAAATCTCAGATTTTCCCGACAGAAACAATCCTAAAATGAATCCAGAAGGCCTTGTCATATGCAGGTTGGTTTAATAATAAATATTTTATCACTTTGTTTAGAATACAGCGTAAAAAGTCAGTGCAGACCTGAGTAGTCCAGTAGAAATTAAATTATGTCATTCTCATCGTTCTGAAGTGTGAGAGGTAATATTGAAGCTATTAACAATGCAGTGCTTGAGATGGTAAGAGATCATGCTAGTAACAAAAAAAAAAAATCATCTTTTTGTTTAAGAGAGTCTCATGTGTTTCTGTTTGGTTTTGGTTTTTTACTTAATGAAACTATTGATTTTTAAGTGATGAAGGAGATTTATGTCCCTAAGGTTGCAAACTTCAGCCTATATTTTGGAAGGTTTTTAGGCTGCAATGCCTAAGTGGACAAGGAAGTACTGTTAAGGGGATGTTTAGATTCCAAAGCTGAAAATGGGATATGGTATTTAAAGCCAGTCATTATTGTGTGAGGTACCACCAAGGGTCTGGGCCATCCTGCTTTCATTAAAAAAATAGTTTGTTCTTGCTAGAAGAAGCGTTGGATGTTCTAGAAGAATTGAGAAAGAACTTTGGCGAAGTCTGTGGTAAAAGAAAAGTATTGATTTGATTGATTAAAAAAAAAAATCCCCAAACAAAATAGCCCCACAATGCTTTAAGAAGAAGCTACGTTCGTCTGATGTTTTAGCTTTAAAGGCCCAGGAATCTTTATCCTACTTAGACAGGCGAGTGTAGAACACATACTCAAGACTGTCCTTCCATTAAACCCTGCATCCATCCAATCCATAATCTGTCAACATCTGTCACATTTATTCAATACTTGTCTGTTGCGATGCGATACATTCCGTCACTCTGTTCTGTATTATTTGATCATTGCCTGAAAAAAAGTAACCTATGTACAAAATTTCACTTCTTACACGTCCTCATCTCTGCTCCGTTGCTGTGAATGTGAGAGTCTTGTAAGCAAACACAAGATAGAAACAAATTGAGAGGCAACCTTTTCCTGCCGAAGGAAACAGACCATTTAAAACAAGATGAAAAGGTTCCTTAAGTGACAGCTGTATTTGCCTGTAAGTGTCACTGAGCTTGTAGTCTGTCTCAGACTGAATATGACATTTCACCTTTGCGTGTCTTTCTGTCCAACAGGTACAGAGACTATCGATATCCTCCAGATCATGAGAGGAGATATTTACACACTATGCAGTTCTGGCACATTCTTGCTGCAAAACTGGCCTTTATCATTATTATGGAGGTATGTTCCCTGCAAAATTTCCTTCCCAACTGGTACCTTATAGGTTCTTTGGTTAGTTACTAACGTTACAGAAAATAGAATTGCCAGGAGTATAAAATAGTTTCTTCCCTAGTTGATACCAATTACTCATGTCCTAAATGATTACTGTAACTAGGTGTTTTAACTTCAGGGAGTTAACCTCCTAGTAAGAACAGTGAAAACAGCTGAGGAGACTGCTAAATGGGATCAAAATAAAACAGCAATAAAAAAAAAGGTCTTTATGCAGCTGGAAGAGACATGAACTGCCAGGACTAGCACTTCCACTCCTACTGGTTTCATTAAAGAGCTCTATGTGAGAGGGCTGTATTCAAAATCCAGAAGGCATTTTGCAGTGATGTATATTGGCTAAAAATAGCTAAATCAATAATTTAGATAACTGGCACTTCAGTATTAAGCCACTGTCTTGCAGGTTCTGAAGGGAGAAGGCGGTTGTAGAAGTGCTCTTCTCACCACTTCTCCTGCTGTATCTTACCAGTTCTCAGTAGCTGAATGTTACCAGCACGGCCATGTGAATTTTCTAAGAAACCACACAGAGGTATTAGGAAGTGATGCTGGGGATTCAGAACCTGACACTTTCCTCTTGGGTTTGCTAATTCATTAATGGTTTGGAATTAAATTTTCTGCATAAAAGGAGGTGGTTTAATCTTCCTGTACATCTCAGATACACATTAGTTTGTTATGCATTGTTCCAGGACAGCCAAATGAATGGTATTGGGTTTTTTTTTTGGGGAGGGGGGGAAGTGATCTCTTTGGTGTTAGCTAGAACAATAGGCGTTTCATTTCGTAATGAGTTGTTACATTTCTCCTGGCTTCCTTTTTTTTTCTTTTTTTTTTTCCCCTCAGCATGTTGTATTCATCGTCAAATTCTTTGTAGCATGGATGATTCCTGATGTCCCTGCAGACGTGAAAGCCAAAATAAAACGTGAAAAGTATTTAACGCAGAAAATCCTACATGAGTATGAACTTGAAAAACTGAAGGAGAGATTGTGTCAAGGTGATAAACGAGCCACGGAAAAGGAGTTCATCGCCACAGAAGGGAGAATGGAGTTATCCAGAGCAATGTAGTTGAAAAAACATCTGTTTGGATTTAGCTTGTTTCAGCTTTTTTATCTGTGATTTGCTCAGTATGCATCTTCTTGAAAGCTATAGGACAGTTTCAACCCTTCGCTTTCAGTCCAAAGATTTTAAAAGTCTTACTGAGCATTCTAGGTTTAGTAAATCTACTTAACTGTATGACTTCAGCACTGTTTTCTATTTACCCATCACTTTGAATAGTAAGTGTAATCTTATAATCCTAGAATTTGGATTCCCAGTGTTGGGAATGCTACCCTCAAAGGGCTTGCAGGGAAAGACAAGGTCGTTACCACCAAGCCCTCCCCCTGTTGCTAAATGCAAAGTTCCAGGCTGCATCCCAGCTGAATGAAAAGGATATCATAGAGGACTCTTGCTGTGGAAAGTGCGGAGGATTATTATTTTTATGACATGATCATTTAAGTAGGAGAACACTCCTGATACAAGGGTTAGGGTTTGGGGCTTTTTTTGGTATCCGCTGTGTCTTATGAAGCATTTGTTTGCAGCTTTGAACTTCTATACGCTTTTTAGAAGGAACTGATTTTTAAAGGTATGTTGGCTTAATTCCACTTGGAATTATCTATAGGCACAGAATTCAGTTAATATATACTAATGAAGGAAAAACAACCCGTAATTTATTTTTATAAAAATATCATCTGCCAAAGAGTTTGCTCTTTAAATGCAAATATTGTGGAATCATCACAGTGTTTTTTGAAAAAGTGTGTACAGTTTGGAGAAGTACAGACAATTTATTTTTCAGTCTCAAAAACTGCCATTGGAAGGTGATGCCTGACGTTAGTTTTGGCCAAAGCTGCTTCTTTGTTTGGGTTATCTGTGAATGCCAGCAAAGGGCTAGAGCTGTGTGTCTGTACTTGATGCATACAATGGAGTATGACTGCACAGTGCAGTGGATTGGGAGCTGGACCACCACGCTAATTAATCTAGTGTGGTTGTACCTGGATCCGTATTCGAAAGATTTTAAGCATGCCAAATAATCTATGTTTACGTTGTTATTGTCCTTATATAGAGGAGCTGGGGGGCTTGTTTTTGGTTTTGTTTTGTTTTTAATCTTTAGGAAGGATCTTTTTTTCTGTTTTGTCATGGAGCTTTTCTACAGAATTACCAAGTTTATGAGTATATAATAACGACTTGTGCAAAGTGGCTAACAGCTGTTTATGAATGTGTCCGCATTTTATAGTTGGAAGCAGTTAGGCCTTTTTATGATTTTGCTGTATATTGGAAACATATCAACACTTCCATGCTTAGTGCCTTGTTTATTTGCATTTGGCAAAAGATGTGAAAATGATCGCAATGGGGAAGTGCGTATTCCCAAAGTGTGCTCGCAGGCATCATGATACTGTGAACCCGCACACGTGGCTGTGCAGCGTTAGCCGAACCATGCCTGCCTTGGCAGGCTTCTGTTTCAGTGCTGTGCGAACCGCTCGCAGAGAGCGCTTCATACCTAGACTGCTTAGATAAAGTCGCACCAGACTGTTGAGTTCTCTCACACTAGCTAGAGAGATGAGAAATTTTACTATATTTGCACTTTGAAAGTTATACTTCCTTGCAAGTATACACAAAAAAATGTAAGTTTGTATTCCATATCAGCCAAATGATGTACTGTTTACTAGATCCACAGCTTAAGGTTTCCGTATTTTGGTTTAGCAGACCTAGCCTACGTCTTGGAACGCTTGGCTAGTAACCTTAGTGTTCCAACAGAGTTTTAAATCGGTGTCTTGGGTGGAACCGTCATGGCTAGCAAAAGTTTTGACATTGAAGTGCCTACCTCAAACAAACATCACACGGTTTGGCTGCCAGTCAAGGACTAGAAGCAGATGTACATTTCTCGTTACTGTAAGTTATTATTCAGCTTCCTTCTGCACGTTTGCTTGATGAACCGAGCATGTTGGCAATTCATGTTCATAAGGAACTGACCATGGTCTTGCATATTCAGATATATTCGAAGTAATGGATTTATTGGAGGAATGCATGTAGAAATAAATTAGCTCTGCTGCTTAATGTATAAGCCAAAGAAGAGTATGTCACCGTAATTACGTATGTGACACCAGGATTGACACAGGGCAAGCACTTTGCTGCTTCTTACATGTATACTGTTGACTAAACAGCTTAATTTAGATTTCACGGTTTTGTTACTATTAGCAATGCAAACAATTACTTCAAACAGTAAGGTGATGAGATGCAAAACAATATTTCTATGCAAAACGTACAATCTGATTGAAGCTGAAAACAGATTTGAAGATTCAGCATTAGATGCACTAGTCCTGCTTATGGAACATTAGTTTCTTCAGGTCCTGTAATAAAGTGCCCTAATATACTGCACTTGAAAAGAAGTCAGCAAAATAGATGTACTGTGAATGAATAATGCTATTTAAAAGCAAGATGGAGGAAAACGAGGAAAGACCCGAGTCTGGGATACATATTGGTGTGCAGAAGGCCTGCATGCAGACCCTGAATTGAAATTTGATTTGACCCCTACTATTTGCTTCTTTCAAACTTACTTTTTGAGATAATTTTCTGTTTAATGCTGTACAAACAGATGTTTTGCATATGTTGTATCTTACAATAGAAAGTGGAAAAAATCTGGGATCAGCTTATTTAAAAAGAAATATATATATCTTAAAAATATATCATTGCACTTCATAGCATTACTTCTTCATATATAGAAACTGTTGAGAAGAGAATGTGTTGTCATATCAAGAGCTAATGTCACATAACAAAGTAAGTCTAACACCTCTGTATAATAGTTTGCCTTTACTTGTCATGAAGCAGTATTTTGACAAAAGGTTATTGGTATGATTAGGATTGTAATCGTTCACATGCACAGATGTTTCCTGAAGTGTTCTTGAGAACTGACAAAGATAAGAAAAAAGGACTGTTCAATTTGGGATCTTGCTTATTCTTACTGTTGGAATAATTGATTTTGATGTGTTTAAGTATCTAAAAGTGTCCTTTAACCACAGTGAAGATAGTTCTGTGTTGGAACTACTGTAATATAAGCAACAGTACATTGCTTCATTAGAACTAGTTAGGAGAAGAAAATTGGCCTTTAAGTGTAATACAATCAGGGATTTTTTTTTTCCAATTAAAATTTAGTATTTTTACCTTGGAAAGATTTTGTGTGGTATGTTCTAAGCAAATGACTGCAAGATAAGAGTGCTACTCTAAGACACTATACTGTTTTTTTCTAGAAGATTCTGTTCTTATGCTTTTACTTTTTGATGTACTACTATCAACTTGAGACAACAGAATGGAGTGAAAATAGGTGGACTTTCCTACTGTTCTATGTGTAGTGCTTGTTTTGACTTGTATTGTCATGTAATTTGAGTGCCATTTTTGTCTGCTAAGTATGTTGCTGATATATATGATACACTAATGTTGGAATAAATTTTTTAAACATTGCATTCAGCTAACTTATGTATGTACATTTAATAAGATCTAAATCTGGCAAATAAAACTGTGTTTATTTTTAATGTGCTGTCAACTTGTTTCTGAAAATTCCAAGAAATCAGAGAGGAGCTGGAGTATTACCAGTTAGATGCCCAGAGAGCCTCATGGAGAAAAATATTCATACAGATTTCTGCAACTCATTGCGGGGTATTTGGATGCTGTGTATAGATTTCGTGCAACTGTGACTTCGCAAGTTTCTTACTGTTATTGTTGAAGAAGGCCTCCATCTGACTGCCACCTTCCTCTTGATAATTGCGTTGTGTAACTGTCTTTTCGGTCTTCATGCGTTTCCCCAAGAATGAATTGCCAAGGAAACCCTGTACCAGTTCTGCAGGTGTGGCAGCAATGCACATGGCCCGAGATGGCATCCGTGTGTGAGGGCCCGTGAGGGCATTTACCCTTGCACGTTCCCTGCTTTAGAAGACCGTGGTTTAGTGGAAAAGACTCGGCACTTCCATCTTCCTTTAGGCAGGGTACAAACGGTGTGTTAACTCATTTTCAGCTCGGCTGCTTTCCCCTTGACAATTTTTATTCTTGTGATGCCAGGACCTGAGGTGACTTCTCAAGTTCTCAGTCAGTCGCACACACAGTTTTCACACTCAGCACAAGGGGTTCACATATGTGCACTTCCAAATAGCTTTGAGCACATTTACTGAAAAATACAGCAGAGCTAAAGCTTTTCCAAGGGACTGGTGAAGTCTTACTGTTCATAGATATTTCTACATATTTTAATCTGTCTCGCTTCTGGCACCAGTCTAGAGCTTTGGATTAAATCACAGAGAATCTGGATTCAAGTTTATGACTTGCTCTCAAAAGACCGTATCAGCACATGTTTCACTCCTGTTATATACCCTGTTACCAGTTCTCTGGGAACGGGGTCACCTGCCAGACTTGGTAGGTCATTTTCTTCAAAAATGCTAAGAGAGATGCAAAAGCAGGAATACAAGGAATGTATGAGAATCCAAAGAAATGTATGAGATGAATAAAGAAGCTTGTCAATGTTAAAAAAAAAAAAAAAAAAAAAGAAAAAAAAAAGGACCAAAATTATGTCACTACCACTGAGCTGGTTACTGCGGTGGGATAGGTTACTTAATTGCGTATCCAAAGGAAAAATAAAGTGTTAAGAAAGATAGAGAAGAAAGTGGCCTCCGTTGAGGCCTGTGATAAATGGGTGATGAAGTTTAGGTGGGGGTACAATTTCATCCAAAGCCAATTCTGTTTTATAAGAAAGAGTAGGTCACTTGTGAGACATTCACAAATCCTGGAATGTACCTGGCTCTCCCCATGCTCAGAAACTCTACTTTTTGCATTGGAAAAGTAGATAAGGCATCTGATCTGCTCGGTGTCTTCATCTACCCAGACTGAGGGGTCTTTCTAAAAATAAGTCCGTGTTTATTCTATGCAAAAAGAGGTAGGAAGCACTGAAATTGAAGAAATGTTTTGAACAGGTGCATCTGAATCAAACTGGTGTAAAATACATTGTCTTACAGGAGCAGAAAAATATGTAACCCATTTGCTAGCAGATAGTGGAAAAGATCTGCAAGATGTGGAAGAAAAGATATCCCAACATCTGCACACTTCATGTCTGTTTCAGATGTGTGGGCTCTGCAACAAAAGGAATTTGCCTAATGTTCCTTG